TATCTTTTTTGGTAATAAATGAGCCGTGCGGATTACAACACAATTTCAGTGAAAGTGGATTTATGGCGTAGCCTTTACCACGCTCATATATAAGATCATTTATCTTCTTTTTCTTTGTCGGTAATATACTTTAATGTTATATTATGTTATATTAAATACTAACATAAATAAAATGTGTTCGATTAATTTAGGAATAAAATTTATACGATGTAGCTTGAAGATGACCGAATAGCGTGCCAGAACGAAGGTCTTTATAACACGCGCCCTTGAATAAAGCACAACATTTACTGCTGTTATTTCGTACTGCTTAATATATTTTCATATGTACCTAAAACGCATGTTAGTTTGCTTAATATTTTATTTTAATTTCTGTTTTACTACATTAATCATTTACGGTTATTTATATGGTTGTTGGAAATGCTTTAGAATTTCACTTATTAAATTCTCGTAGGGTAAGTTATAGTAACTAAATTTACGAGCGACTTCGACTTCCACGAAGATTATATTTGAAATAAAAATTTTGTTATATTTTTATGTTCGATTTTATTTTTCAATACTGTATAAAAACGTCTATTTTTTAAGTAAAACTTCTTTAGGCGCGACTAAGGTGTAAAACTGTCAGAATGCAACGGAAATTGCGTTACGCACGAACTGTACGTCATTCGCTCTTGAATAGCCGTCGTGCATTTTTATTTACTTTTTTTACTAGATCTCCGAAACCGCTAGACCTGCCTTCATGAAAATTGATCAGTTCTTCATCTTGTTAATACAAGCAAAATGTTTTTTGAATTAATCAAAAGGCACTTTTTGCCCCATATCTTCCGAACGGCTAGACCTGCCTTCGCCAAAAACTAATCAGCACGTCTCCTTATCAATACGAATCGAAAGTTTTTTTAATTATTCAAATCGCTTCATCCGTGTTCTCGAAATCGTCGACAAAAATTTGTATCCGCACACACACACACACACATACACTCACACACACACATACACGCGCACACATACACACGCACATACATCCATTTTTTCTAAGGTATGCCAAAATGTTCAGAAGGTTTTGAAACGTAAAGATATATACAAATTTTCTTTTTCGAATTTTTTGCGATTACTATAACTTGCCCTACGGGAAGTTAATAAATACATCATATAACAATTTTGAATAATGTTTCATCAAAAAATGTCTTCATCAAACATTGAAAATTCTAAATTCTAATGTTTGATGAAGAATGTATAAACTGGATAAGTTTTATAGATTTGCTCATATCTACAATTTTTAGGAATATTAACTTATTAGATGTACATGTTACTAATTGATTGCAGCAGTAATTAATAATAAAGCCTTCACCTATAATATTTTATTTACTCTAGAGCTTGGGACTGATTATATGCTAAGTTTAAAACAGATGTATAATTAATTTGAAATATATTATGGTTATCATCGTATTTGAAAAGTACATACAAAGCTATAATTTTTTTTCTAAATATTATGCAGCAGAAATAAACGTTAACTTACAAGTTGAAGTTCAATCTTGATAACAAAAGAAAATGCTAACTTTATCAAAATTATTTAATCTTTTGAAAAATCAATATTTTGCATCAGAGTTTTTATCGATTTTTGCTTACGCTCGTTGAGGGCGTCCCAGCTTGGGGGCCCCGTATTTTGATACGGCTGATACGGCGGTAGCTACGCCCCTGCTAGTTACACATCTATTACTCTCTACTTTCAAATATTGTTTATCAAACAATTCATAACTTTCTTGCTTTTAAGATATTTTTACGAAGCTTTAAGCCCCGCTCTATCTTGCACACATAATGATTCATACATTGAAGAAAAAACTTAAATAAGGGGGTGTCTATTAATCACGTAATCAAGTTTTTAGGGATTTTTGAAACCTACTTCACCCCCTTAGTGATTTATGGTGATTTTCAAAATTACCCCCATTCTTAGTTACGAAAAAATTGTTTTTTTTTTTTTTTTGAAAATGTTTAAATTTAAAAAAAAAAATCATGTAAAAAATAAATATACCTGATTTCTTGGTAAACTTCTCTCTTCCTCACGTGAAAATAATACAGAAATGTTTTGATGGCAAAATAAACAAAAACACTTCCTTTAGTGATAACTAAAGGAAAACTAAGAGTTAAAATTTTGTATAACAACAACGTATAAATGCTATATGAGTGCAAAATTACTTCAATGTTTAAATGGATGTCATATACTTTTTTTTTAGCCAATATAACACACGAATTCTGAATCAAATTGTTTAGAAGAGGATTCGTGGAATGAAGCCTCGCTGTAATATATAGATAATCTGCTGTTTGATCTGAAATATATTTTAGTACACAACGTAGTACTATGAAGATAATCCTGTTATTTCATATAAAATCCTTATTCATTAAAGAAAACAAAGAATAAGTATTTTCTCAAAGCGTAAACTTTTGTGCGATGGTGTATGTACGTTAGTTTTCACATGCTTGTACTACTCTCGCATGAATGAATTTTCCTTTGTGCCCGCTTCAGCAACTTTATTGATTGGTGGTTGTCAACTGCTTTTTGCTCGACACAGCGTAAATAAATAACACACTTTTTTAAAATGGGCGCACCGTTCAAAAGTAACAGAGTTTGAATCAATGAAATTGACGTTTACGAAACATATTTTTATTTTTCTTGATACAATTAAAATCCGTTTACCTATAACACATACATTTAGTAACTATTAAGACTTATATATAGAAAGTTACTATATGAAAAACAGGTTACTCAGTGGTAAAGTATTTTTGCAGTTAATTTTGAACCAATACGGATGGTTGAATAGAACATTCGATTCATATTGAATATGCGCACTGTTCACGTTTATCGTTTATATGGTGAAGTCAAGTTGCGCCATTTCGGAGTTAGAGCATATTGCATTTTCATCTTAAATTATAAAAAATTTCCAAAAATTTTCCGATCATTTTTAAGTTTCATACAAATAAATGAGATTTTTCAAGTTACTTATAAGATTCTCTCTAAACGATCATTTGGAGACTTGAAGGAATGTTATTGAGTAATTTAATAAGTCAGTTTCATAAGTATATTTTTTTTGGGTTTTCGTACTAATATGCAATTTAATGTAATAAATTTAAAATTTGGTGCCACTAACATGTCAAATTTAAATTTATTATAAAGCGCAATGCTATACATTACTATATTAACTTCCCGTAGCGTAAGTTATAGTAAATGCAAAAAAATCGAAAATGAACAATTTTATATATTTTTACGATTCAGAAGTTTCTGAACATTTTGGCATACCTTAGAAAAAATAGATGTATGTGTATGTGTATGTATGTGCGGATACAATTTTTCGTCGACGATTTCGATAACACAAATCAACCAATTTGGATAATTCAAAAAACATTCGATTCCTATCGATAAGGAGACGTGCTGATTAGTTGTTTGGCAAAGAAAGGTTCAGCCGTTCCGAAGATACTGGGCAAAAAGTGCCAAAAATGGTATTTCAATTTTTGAGAGAACAGAACGTCCGATTTGAATTATTCAAAAAACATTCTATTTGTACTGGCAAAATGAAGCACTGGTGAAAGGCAGGTGTAGTGGTTTCGGAGATCCAATAAAAAAAGTAAAAAAATGCCATTTGGCGGACGATTATTTATTTTATCGTTATCATCATTTCGATTTTCATAAAAATGATATAATGATGCTGGCATACCTTCGGAAGAATACGTGTACTTTCTACTTTCTTTCAACATGATAAATACAGCGAATGAATTATAAAGGATAAATTTCATACATATTGTAACGTTTTGTATTGAAATATTCTGACATAAACTCCATTCTTCTATATCACTGATGTAAAAAGTTATTGCCATTGCCAAATCAAGTATATCTCCCTCTCTACATATGGTATGGTATGTCAAAATTTAACTTTGGTATAATTTTATAAATTCAACCAATGAATACTTCAATAACTAGTGGTGTATGGCATCGTGTCTTAAGGCAAATTGCTGGAACTTTCCGTACCAGAATTATATATTCGAGAAAAAAAATCAGTAATCAATAAAAATTGATTAATGATTCACAACAATTGTTTTATACATTTTCAAACAGATAACTATAATCACTATATATTTTCTCGTTCATAAAATATACAGTGACGATCTTATTGCTCAAAACACTTGAGAAAGTTTACATTAGGAGGATGCGCCGAATAAATCCATTTGAGGAAATATTTACGATTAGAATAACGCATTTGAAATACATATATACATTTTGAAACTGAATTGTAAATTTAAAATCCATGTTTAAAACTTTTTTTAAAATTCATTTTTGAAAATTTTGACATTTTTTTGAAAATCTTGGTACGGAACCCAACAAAATTGTACCAAAAAAATTAGTACTCATTTTTAAAAAAAATCATCAAATATCTGATAATTTGATATGCATACGTCTATTCGACCAGCAAATATCATTTTTTTTACTTTTTTCACCGTATCTCCGAAACCGCTAGACCTGCCTTACCAAAAATTTCATCAATTATTCATTTCGTCATTACAAGTAAAATGTTTTTTGAATCATTCAAATCAAGTACTTCGTTCTCTCAAAAACTAAATTATCGTTTTTGACACTTTTTGCCCTTTATCTCCGAAACAGCTAAACCTGTCTTCACCAAAAACTAATAAGCACGTCTTCATATCAATAGGAATCGAATGTTTTTTTTTTTAATTATTCAAATCGGTTGATTTGTGCGCCCAAAATCGTGGACGAAAAATTGTATCGAAATATTCTGCACACACACACATACATCCATTTTTTCTGAGGTATGCCAAAATGTTCAGTAACCTTTGAAACGTAAAGATATGCAAAAATTTTCATTATCGACTTTTTTTGCGATTACTATAACTTACCCTACAGGAAGTTAAAAATATTCAATCTGTTAATATAAATGTAATTCATAACAAATGCATGTTATAAATAGCCTAACTAATATTGTATTTATTGTCTCTAGGATGTAGCATTCATTAACCCGGCGAACGTCGTGTTCGTGTACATGCTAGTACGCGATTTGGTCGACGGGGACGAGCTGGACAGCGAGCAAGACTTACAAGCTGTGGTGCTGACCTGCCTCTACCTGTCATACTCGTATATGGGCAACGAGATCAGTTATCCACTAAAACCGTTCCTGGTCGAAGATCGCAAAGAGCCATTCTGGGACCGCTGTCTACTGATAGTCAATCGATTATCGTCGGACATGCTGAGAATCAATGCAGAACCCGGCTATTTCACTGAAATATTCACCGAACTGAAAGCGTGCGGGATGGGCGCACTGCCTGCGTCACTTTCGCGACATGCCGCTTGACAGAAACAACAGCAAACCGTGCAGGGACTTACCGTCGTTCGACTGAGCCTGGTCGAGCAGCCCGCGGCCGTCTGATTCACGCACGAGATCGTTTGCGCCGCGGGACCTACGGAGATTTTGAAAAGACGAGAACCAGCCGCCATTCTACAATCATTGTCGTAGCGCCATCAGCCTACAGCATACTTGGAGTATATTTGACTGAATCTGAATCGTGTGCTTGTGAAGGCTGTGCTGTGCATATTAACACGTTCACTTCACTAACGATCTCTTCAAATGCCAAAATCCATTCAATCTAAAATCTAACAATATATTTATTCAAACCAAGTACCTAAAAGACTCAAGTTTGGACTGCATTGTTGAGATCGTTAGAAAATTTACGTTAGCGTGTTAACGTTACTAACAAATCGTCATCTACTTGTAATTATTAAGTAATACTTCATAATTAAGTCCTGAAAACAACCAGGGCAGCGGGTTTAAATAAATTGTCCTCAACATTTTTTCTTAAAATAGAGGCGTTTTGTATGCCAAATATTCATGAATATGTACTTATTTCAAGTTTCGTTTTTAGAAATACTATTTAGGTATTGTAATAGCATGGACTATCATTCCAAAATCCATATCTATTTTTATAATTGTTTTTGTAGAATGATATTAGGAGAGACTTATATGAATGATTTTGAACAATAATGGTTGAAATAAACTATTCAATCTTATTACTTTTTACATATATGTATTTATTTACATATAAATACATATTTGATTTCAATTTGATTCAATTGTTTGTTGAATTTTTTGTTGATAGATCTTTTTGTTAGTGTTTTCTCGTTAAGTTAATTCAAATATATGCGGGTCATAAGTAATTCAATAGAATATTTTTCTGTATTACTTTCTATTCGTTATTTCATTGAAATATATTAATTTGTAAAATGTGCTCATTTTATATCGTGTTAAAAACCATATTTTATTGATAGTTTGTAGAATTTAAATAAATAAAATAAATAAGTGTATCCATGCAGGTAAAGATTTCTATCATATATATATACCACAACAGTGAAAATTTGTATATTCATTTTAAAACGTATCTTTTAAAATATCAATAAAGAAGTCAGATCTGAATTAAATTAAAAATATAATTTTGTTTTGAGCGTTTGCTTTGCATTGCTAGGATAAATAGGTCAAGATAATTTGTGTTATATATCCACACTATTGTGTATATATAATTGTAAATATTTATCTTTAAATTGCTTTACAAGAATTGTATATGGAATTATGTTATTTTATTTTTAAATAAGAAATATATATACGTAAGATTGTGCTAGACATTTGAAAGTATTTCTTTAATATGTTATTATTTTTAACAAAAATCACTGATTTTTAATTATTTGGATGTATTTAAATCGATTTTATTTAAAATCCCTGCCTTAAAAACAAGATATATTTAGGCATTTGTCTATTCTGTAAAAGGCGTTGCTTGAATATCAAACGGATGGCCAAACACTTCCAAGTTTTCCACCTTTTCCAAACGGCCTGCAAATAAGAAAAGTCAATGATGTATGAAAGAAATGTAGAGACGAAATCTTGGTATTTTAACAACAGCCATTCCAATCGAGATTTTTTTATTACAAACGTAGTATAAATTTTTAGCAGAGGTTATTTACAACATAAGTAACGTAACAATATAAAAAGCAGTGATTTACATATAAATATAATATATAAAAATTATTAGTAGATAAGTTAATTTCGGCCAGGATTGTGCAATATTCCGAAATCAACTATAAATAATTCCAACCAGAGGAAAAGTATATATAAATATATAGTTGATTATAAAAAATAATTAATCAGATTAATTATTATTAATTATTACATGTGAACGTTAAAGCATGTTTGTAAACCGTATCATGTTAACCGTCGTTGGTATTAGACTTGAAATAGTTTTTTAAGTTTTTAATTTATCAATATAAGAGTAGCACGAGTGATAATATTTATATTTTTTTTTTGAATATAAAGAATAAAACAAATTAACGATAATATTATACTGGGTATAACGTATCGTTCAACATTTGTCAAGCATTGATTAATCATAGAATTATATATTAAAATTTTATGCGATTTTGTAATATATTGTTTTTCTTCATTAACACTATTTCTAGTTATTTCTAGTTATTTGATAATAATTATTGTTTATATATTTATATTGTTATGAGATCCATCCGATGTATATTATTACAAACAAATATTTGTATATGGAAATGACAAATATGATTTTGTTCACATACATGTATTCAATTTAAGAATTAAAAATAAATTTCTTATAAAACAAAATGTATATTTTGTATAATAAATGCATATATGTATAAGATATGTATATAAAATTTTGAATATAAAAGCGCTCCGAAAAAAGTTTTATAGTCGATCAGCGCAAGAAATTATTATGATATAAATCACGAACGGTGACAAATATTTGGCAAATAAAACACAAATTTCGATTCATGAGGAGCCGTCGGTTGCGTTTGTACCTGTTACAAATAAGAAGATTGTTTATTTAATGCATCCATTCCAGTCATCGTGTTTAACAGATATCAAAAGAATATATTGAATATATTCCTGGGGTCCTCAGCGCCCCGCCCCCTAATATTTTAACTGTTTTAACAGTTCATCATCAAAATTATACAAAAATTTGCATTCATTTTTTAAAATCCTTTTTTAATAATCCTGTGTTTAGTACACAAAAAATTAGATATATGTAAACTAAAAACGCAAAAATACATTGATTTTAAAATTGTTCAGAAGATCGAGGCAACTAGCGGGTGCTCATAATCAAATTTTTGTGTCTTCTATCGTTGTCGCACTACCGAATTAAGCAAATCAGAGTTTTAAAAAAATCTAGCCTTTCATTATTAAACATAGCGCTGGTACTTCATGTTGGATTATTTTAATTTAATTTTTCATTATTTAAAATATCCAAAATTGCATGGTAAACTTCTCCTAATTGATATTGCAAGGGACGAATTGTATGTATTCATCTTTACTTTCCCATTTGTTGTTTCAAAGTGAAATTTTTAACGTATTTTAAAAATATTGTCCATAGATTAGTAAAAGATGCAAGAAAAGTTTATATTTCTTGAATGATATTGAAAAAACTATATTATAAATTTCATATCCAAATCTCGTTTTGACGCCCCCTAAGGCGTGCGCCCGCTTTTTCGCATGCATTGCATTTAATGTAGGACCGGCTCTGTTTATATGTGTGTATATGTATATGTATATATATATATATATATATATATATATATATAGATATATCATCTCAGACCTTGACGTCAAGCCGTAAACGAATAATAGTATAAACCTTACTTGTCCTGAAAAAAATTAGAAAAAAAATATCTCATTCGGAAATTATAGGCTTTTAAATGCAACAGTGCAACGTAAAAATTATATCACGTTGTTTATAAATTATGAGCAATCTATTTCAAGTGCAACCTAGGGCTTTGGTGAAATTATGACTATTTAACGGTTATTGAGGTTAACCTTCATTAATTTTGTTCATTTAAACTATGCAACCGTAACCGTAACCGTGAATAAAATTTCTAGGACTCAATACAAAAAAAATATCACAATTTGAGAAGCCCTGCTTTGAAAAAAATGTACTAAAGTGTGTAGACCAATTTCTGTAAAATGTTAAAATACTTGATAATTTTAGCATTGAAAAATTTCGAGTAATGAAAAAAAAACGAAAAATGATCCAATAATTGCTAACGCACTCAAACCGAAAACTCAGTTCTGCATGAGCTCTTGGTGAATTCCTAATTTTACTTTAAAATGATAAGAGATGGGATAGTGCATATATATTCTATGAATATCCCAAGCAGATAATGTCGCCACTTTTAACAAAATCATTACCAATAAATAAAATTAATGAAATAATGAATAATTTTGTCTTAGTTTAGTTTAGAAATAAAGCCACATAGATTTTTTTTTCATTATAATAAATGTTCAAAGTATTTGCTATGTGCTACAATACATATCTTATAACTGCCTAATAAATATCTATTCATAAACAGGGCATATCTTCAAGAGTTAATCACTTTAGTAGCTGGATTTTTTTGATCAGGAATATCCGGGGTGGATTGGACTATGCAGGTAACATACTGCAGAAGATATTTAAAATATATCTGCAGACCGTAATTTATTATATATTTTTTATATTATAAAATGTAATTTAATAATTATATTATTTTTTACAGGCATGAAATTCGATAAAAATCTTGAGTATGATATGAACTACAATAAACTGTATAAATAATTTAAACCCGAATAATCTCAATAATAAAATATAATAAAATAATTTTTCATATTTTTTAGGTTTGATATCCGCCTCAAACAGTCGGATGTGAAGCAACGGTGATGATAATGGTTTTCATCTGAAAATATGGATCAAACTATGTTTTCAAAAAGCATTGCCGCATCGAAGTAATAATTGTTAGAATTAGAAAAATTCTAATAATAAAACATATCAAATAGAGAAAGGAAGAAGTCATCAAAACATGCTTAAAAAACTATTAAGTAGCGGTTTTAAAAGCAATAATAAAATAATAATAACGATAATAATAATAATAATGAAATAATAATCATAATAATAAAAATAATAAAATAATAACAATAGGAATAATAATAATAATAACAATAAACATAAACACCACCTAGCCAGTTATGAAATTCAAGACCATAATGGAAACATCCGAATATGCCTAAAAAAGTAGAACAAAAATAATTCATACAGAACTTTTTGGTGTTTTGGTTTTAGTACCGACGTATAATGATTTATTATATTTTATTTAATTTATCATTTTTGGAGTGGAAAGTGGAAGCAAGTAGTAATACTTTAAATTCATTTTATTGCTAGCAATCAAAAGTTAGCCCTTTCCACTCGGATGACGCCGCTCCGGCTTCAAAATACGTGTTAATTCCGCTACGTGTTAAGTACTTAGTGATGACTTCTGAAAAACGTGATTTTAGAAAGCGAGCCAAAGGTGGGCCTAACTCTTGTTGATAAATGCATTGGTAGTCTAATACTGCTGATATAATAATATAATAATTCTGATGACTTCTTCTTGGATATAGCAATGCCGGGCAAGGGCTATTTCATTTGGATTCATATTGCTATCAGAAAAACGATGTCACTAATAAGTTGCAACATTAGAAGCTGATACCATGTTAACAGATTGCATACAGAAAAGGAAACCTATATTTTCAAACACAAAGCCGAAACACGGGTAAACAGTACTTGTATTCAATGTTAATGCAGAGATGACACTCCATTTTTACCACGTGGGCGAAATTGTGCATTCATAACCTGCAGTTTGGCACATTTTCAATAACGTAATGCTTAGTTTAACGTAAAAAGGGTGTAATATGAAGTGATATTGCTGACTTAAAGTATGATTAAAAAAGTAATTGAAGAAAATTAAAGGAATTCTGCGATTTTTTTCACTTGTTGCAATGGCCAAGTATGTCGTAGTTAATATAAATTAACACATATATGAATATATATTAAAAAAAGTATTAGGGAGTATGTCAAAACATTAGTATTTATTATTTATTTATTTAATCTAAACTTCATATCAGTGAAAATAATATAAAAAAGATTCAAGTTTAGTTCGTTCACTAGTGACACACAGGCATAGGTGTTCTTATAGAAAGCGCAGATCTTGGTTCAGATTTTTTCAAGTTCTGATTATGTTCCACTACATTGAATTAAACAATATTCTGACTGCTATAAATAAATAAATACACACACACACACACACACACACACATATATATATATATATATATATATATTTTCTTTCATATGATGGTAATGAAAAATTAGTACAAACAACAAACCCAAAAAAAAATTGAAATATATAAAACTATTTTAACATTTTCAAAACACTTATTATAAATAGTTTCAGTTCACTTTGGAAAAGTATCACATTGTTCATTTTCATATTTCGAAAAAGGGATCACTACTATCACATATTTTTAATATCTTTGCCTAATGATGAAGTAGAATGGACTTGGCGTTATACATGCACATCTGTTGTTCAAGAACTAGTAGAATTATTTCCGTTTTCCGTTCAGCCAAAACCCTTCTATATATACATATATATATATATATATATATATATATATATATATACATGAATATACTATACAAAGATTATGTACAGACATACCCAAATTTACATTTAAAATTAAAATAGATTAAAAATCCATTACTATATCTCAGAAGTAGCATACATGGATTTTATACTTCGATCATAAAATCTTGAAAATGAATTAATACAAAAAATCAACTATCACTTATTGTGCGTGTATATTAGGGTGGTCGTTAATATGAACATTCATTTCTCTGAAATTCATTGGACAACAATTCTCTGAAAGTTGTAGCTCTTAATATTGTCTTTTAGATAGAGCGAAATTCAATTAAAGTTTTGTATGGACATAGCATGAAAAAATTTTCAAAAATTTTGCAGAGCATCAAATTTTCAATAAAAAGTGACACAAATTTTCACTTTTAATTCATTTGTCGCTAAGTTATACTTAAAAAAAAATTTAATTTTCAAAATTTTTTCTATGCTATTTCCATACGAAGTTTAATTGAATTGCGCTCTATCTAAAAGTTAATATTAAGAGCTAAAACTTTCAGAGAATTGTTTTTTATCAATTTGGAACCATTTGAGCCCTTGGGAGCAAGAAAATTCGAAAATACCCATATTAAAGACAACCCTCGTGTATATATATATATATATATATATATATATATATAGCCAATTCGAAAACATGGATTTATTAACAGTATATTTCTCAATGTCCTTTAAATACAAATATTATTTACAAAACTTTAATATTATTAAAATCAATTGAATTTCAATTGATTATCAGTCTCATTATTCTATAATTAAATAATCTTTGGCTGCGACTCAAATTGGAAGTAAAGGACTACTTCCAGATCTAGAGAATAACGATCCCAAAAATTTAAGTCCTGCTGTGCCACCTGGAACACTGGCTATAGTACTCCATAAGAGTGTTATAACTTGCAATATTGCAAATACCACAGTTAATGGAGTACTTTGTAGACATAATGCGCAGTATAGAGTTCCACTCAATGATCCGAAATAAAAAGTTGTTGTTAATATGCGTGGTTTAGAAAACAAACTCTTCAGATGGTTTATAGGTCCATAAAGAAATGATGCGCTGAAATTGTGAATCATAGTTGTCACCTTTTGTACATAATTAAATATTTACTATTATGAGATACCAAATATAATAATATTAAATTTAATATTAAATATATTAATATTGAATTTCACTTTAATGATATTTGAGTAAACAATGACAGTAATGTAGTAAATATGTTATTACTGTGTTTTAAGTGATATAAAACCTTGCTAAAATCTCTATAGATAATATAGTTGAAAATTGATAAAGTGTTATGATGAAACTGTATCTATAGAAGAGAAAATATCAATAAATGGTTCTGTGTATATATATGTATATATATATATATATATATATATATATATACACCTAAGTCTGTTTTTACACGGTAGATTGGTTCCAGAAGAAGTCGTGTAAAAAAAAAACGTGTAAAAAAAGACATTGATCTTATACAAAAATGGGTGATTTGTTCCTAATCTCTAAAACCTATTAAAATTAGTGAAAAACAAGGATTTTTAAGAACAAGAATTCATGTTTATTTTATTAAATCAAATATATAATGCTTATTTTCACAAGCATAGTAATTAATGATAAAAAAGATATGCACTCTAATCTTAAAATTAATAGAAATTAAATGTATGGCAAGTTCAGGAACTAAAAAACTATGTTGTGAACGAAAAGAATAGGTTATTCAATTTTTAAGGTTTCCCTAAATTAGTGCTATTCACATTTGCTTTGACCAGTAAAAATTGTTTGTACGCGCTAAAGGGGAATTCACTTAAATCTTTAAGCTAGTGTTCGCAAACTATCGATACTGTCGATGGTTTCAGACTTTTTTCTATCATAAATACTTTTTTGTGATATGAATATATTTCGCAAAAATTAAATTTGACAAAAAAAATTTAAGTACATAAAATTGCAAATCGTGCTAAATGGAATAAAATCGTGTAAAAAAATTAAAAACATTCAATTTTCAAACCGTGTTATATCAAAACCGTGTACAAAAAGACCGTGTAAAAACAGACTTAGGTGTATATATATATATATATATATATATATATATACATATATATATGAGCATATAATAACCTGAATATGAAGAATAAACTCCCCAAGGTAAACAAAAGTGCGAACTTTCTTGCTTTAAACACGAGCATTGGAATATACATAGCAGATAAGCTAAAACATAATAACCCTATCGACAAGCATATTACAAAGCTGATTAATCTCTGCACTCTCGTCTGAAATAGAAAAAAAATTAGAAGGTGTTGTTGGAAACTTTTCTCTGATAACAAAAAATGTGTAAAGAAATGTATGTACAGAAAATAGTAAGTTATTATTTATGATTTTAGAATAAATATTGAAAAAGTACACAAAAAGTTCAAATTCACAAATTTCAAAATGTGTTTCTATATTACATTGTAAAAAGAACGATTCTGCAGAAGTATCAGTAAACTTGAGTGTTATAGCTTAAATAATGTAATAAATAATAATACTGCGCTGAAAGAGATATAGTTCAACCCTTTTATTTACCATTGTGGGGCAACAACTTATTTCGGGATCAGATTGTTTAACAGTAGTATCACCATCTCTGTTAAATAACTTGCGTAAGTCGGGTTTTGAAAACTTGGGAATGTTGAGGACATTCGACTTTTTTTGCTCACTATTTAATAACAAGTATTCGTCCAATTCCTTTTTCAAATCAGCCATCTCTAAATAAAAAGTTGATTGTCAATTTGGTTTCGAACGTTTCTAGAAAATAACTTTACCTGTGGAAAATGGTCACGTTAATACTTGAACAGAAAATCAACTTACTAACAAATATACAAAACAGTGTTTTTTTGTTTTTGTTTTGGATCACAATTGTTTCTTTATAAATTGGGTTTAAGTTTTGCAAATGTCAAACTTGACAGGTTCTCGTTATTCATCTAGATAGCGCCGTCTGCAATTTGGTTATAATTATTATAAAGAAAAAGAAAAATATACCAATATACTAATGGATCAACTTACATGGATAATTGGATAGTTATCAATTAGATTTTGGATAAGTATTTTATCATTTGACATAAAAAAAATTATAGGTGGGATTCTTCTCTTGTTTTGATAGCAGTATTCTTGAACATTTCTATAGATGACGCATCTAATAATAAAACTTAACTGCAAGATATAAATATTTTATTTAGTGATAAAGAATAGAATACGTATTATACCTTAAGTCAGCGGTTTCCAACCTTTTCTTCCTTGCGCCCCCCTTTCGAATGATAAAAATATTGCGCCCCCTCCCATTCTTATTTTTCTAACAATTTAATTTAAATATACTTAATATAACTGAAATTATGCCAAATAAATAAAAAATACATACAAACCTAACTATTTATTATAAGAATTTTCTGTTTCACATAAATAAGATCTCACAAATGGTAATGAAAATTCTAAAGCATTATTTACCAAAGTAGGAAAATCGTCCTTTACTGGTAACCAAAACTTAACAATATATTTTCGTCCTGAAACATCTGCGTCAATGTGCTATCACTAGATAAATCAATTATCATTTTCTGCTCTGCTGTTGAATTACCAAAATCATCATGTTTCTCAATGACAAATGGATTTCTAATCCATTCGTATTTGGACGTAATTAGATAAAGTAATGCGAAAATTGGTTTCGTAGACTAGTCATATGACTGATATAATAATAAGATCTTTACTTACTTCTATTTCATCAGTAACACAAGTAATTTTAAAAGTGGGAAACATGTTAAAGTTATAAAGTTATTTGATACTAGCTATACACAGATCTATTTTTTTCATTAAAGCCGTAATTATTGTAATCTTGTCTTTCTGAACAAAAGCACGAATTTGAGATCCTTGCATTGATTTAATTAAATCGCTAAGTCTTTGAAAAATATCAACTAAATACGCAAATTTTGCGAGGAACTTTGTGTCCTAAAACAAGATTGCTCCGTCTCTTTTGTTAGCAAGAAATATAGCAATTTCTTTTTTGAGTTCAAACACTCTTAGAAGTACTTTAAATATTTTGTTGATTTGTTTTTGACACTTACTCAGCATTTAAAAATAATATTTTTGAAACAGCTTTGCGCCCCCCCTGGGACGGTATGACGCCCCCCCAGGGGGGCACGCCCCACAGGTTGGAAATCACTGCCTTAAGTTTTATTATAAATATAATATGTAATACGCATATATACCAGCTAGCCTGGCAAACGTTTAGCGATGAAAAATATATTTAGAAAATTTTCAAAAACGATTTTTTCCAAAAATTTCAAAAAATTTTGAACTTTTAAAAAATTTTCAAAATTTTGAAAAAAATTCAATAAAATCAAATTAAAAAAAAATGAACAATTTTTTTGTAAACATACACATAAGTTATTTGTAGAAGAAATGATTTAAAACAATTAATGATTATTTTCATTCCTTCATGTGTAATTACGTTACGGGAAGTGCCAGCAATTTGCCTTAAGGCACAATGCCATGCACCACTAGTTATAAATTATGACGAAAAACCCCCACAACTTCTAGACTTCTAGAATAATACACAGTAAAAATTATTAGGGTGCGGTGGACAGAAATGGGCCACGTTTTTATTTTTGGTTGTAAAATGGTTAAAAATGAAAATATTTTCTTATTTTTTTTAGTTTCAAGGGTATTCCAAAATGCAACTTTTTATCATAGCAAATGGTTGCAATTATGTTTGGAAGTATTTCTATTTTTAAATGGCAAAAAAGTGTATTTACCGTATTTTCCGAAAATGTGGGGAAAAGTGGGCTACCCAAATTTTTATCTGAAAAAATGCTGCTATATGCTTCAAATTCTTACCCTAAGGGTTTTCGAATACGCCGATTACGAATCCGTTGTCAAATTCACAAAATCGTTAACACGAAATGAAGGGTAGATATTGAAAAAAGAGTGACTTCAGTAAAAATGTTCATTTAATGTCTGAAGAGGAGTAATAGAGTTGGAATGATAAAATTGTTGAAAAAAACATTTTGCAACATTAAAACACAGATTCTAGGCGTAATTGGTGCACGTTAAGTCGGTGCAGTTTTGGTCATATCGACGCACTCCAAGTGGAAGGGTCAGTCGCAGTTATCGCACTCGATGGAGTTTTATCATGAAAATCGATGTCTTCATTTGAAGAAATCGAAGAATTTCATTTTTTTGGTTTTTCACAGCTGATTGTGAAGTATTGGCCTTCTTGGAAACATTCGCTGGTACTTGCCATTTTTGACCCTGTGCTGCTTCTGCCGCAACCTCTCTGTTTTTAGGGAATGTATGGATGCATTGTACAGACAATCCACTAATGTTGGTAACAACAGAAGCAACACGCTTCAATATTTTGTTTATTTTCACTTCCTTTATAGCAATAATTAATTTTTCATAATTCACTACTTTTTGGGTGTTTTCTGTTTTTTTGAGACTGAAGAGACAAAAATAAGTAAACAAGAAGTTCGATTATTTCATAAAAACACTTTACTGTGCAAAGAACGGCATTACGCAAGTGGCCCATATCTGTCCACAAATAGTAGCCCACTTCTATCTACAAACGCCTTTTTTGCATATGCATTCCACAAAAACACCATGTAGACAATCGGCAAAACCACTTTGCATTTCAAAGATTATATGTTTATATAATATACTGCATATTTACTTGTATTTTTCTCGTGAAAATTCGATGACAATTCACGTAAGAGCGTACGACGGTAAAAACTTTCTCGACGAAATTCTTAGCGCGTTTTTATGTACAGTGCGAGAGTATGTTTATAACCTCCAAATGCTTTTTGAAATTGAGCAAGATCAAAATATCACTAGTTTTACCCTGTGGTCCACGTCTGTCCACCGCACCCTACTTACTAAGGGTCAATGCAACTTGTGTATTATTTCAGGTATGTGGATATAATATATAATATAATATGATACGGTATGATATGATATATAATATTTTATAATATAATATAATATAATGTCTGGTTATACTCAGAAAGGACAATTAGCCTGCCGCTTTTTTCCTGTCTGATTTTTAAATTATCCTACTAAAAAATCGAAATACAAACTTGAATATTTTAATGCTACGTAATTGAATCTTACATAAATCTTATAAGCTCCCCCCTTAAATATTTTTGTGGTAAAAAATTAACTGGCATTTAAACACGTTTTAAGACTTTAATGACGGGTTGATGCCTTTGTGAAATTCTGTCGCAAAACATTTTACTCACTTCGAAATTGACCAAAAAACATTTTCGTTATTTCGATGCGATGCCATTTACTATAAGTACATTCCGGAAGCCGTAAGTGCTACGAAGAACTTTTCTAATTTATTGCAACACAACCCAAAATTTTGCGGATAATATGTTTGCATAGTATTAGGGAATACCGAATTACTGGTAAACCGCCCGATTTTTCGGTATTCATCCCAAAAATACCGGTATTTTCGATACATAATACATTAAAGTTTACATTTTTCGGACCAAATTTATCTTTAAATTCCATAATCGCATAAACAGCTATATCTTCAAGTGATTCTATAAGATAAACAAATGTCAAATATTATCTCAACTTGTCATTAAACTGAATATTTATTGCTTTACTAAGGGCTACATATCGTGTTACAATAAATAGAATTCGACTGATAGATAATGATGTTCGTTTCATCTTATGTAAAAATGTAACAGTTCTTTAAGTGATAATTGCGCCGAAATATTTTATATCAGATTACCCCTGCGTAATCTTTATTTTTTTCTAACTTTATACATAATAATTATGATAATTACTAAATATTCTTGCTTCTTATTACAATTATAAAATATTATTTTTCGAAAACGTTTCGAAGTTTGAAAATACTATAGAAGCATCATATTGTTTTAAATAGCAATACTCAACAATTATAGTAACTTATTATTTATCTCGACAAAGTATCCGATCCTAAATTATATATTTGTAGATTTTTTTTTAAATATTGGAGATTATGCTAATTTAACACATCGGATACAGACAATACAGTTTATTATAATAATGCGATGTGATCTTCTATGAGTTTTTGGTCTTTCTCATAAGTTTGTTTTTGGTGAAAAGTAAACTCAATATACTCGATAGTGATAATGAATTAATTAAATTGGATATAATTTTTTAAATTATTATTAAAAAAATAAACTTAATGTTTTATGTTATTATGTTACTTAATGTTTTATCGTTTAGTTGAATATTGTTGTAGTTGAATATACATTTTTTTATATTTGTACTAGTAACTTTCAATTTTGTTTACGTTTGTTAAAGATAATAAAAATACCGGTAATTTACCGGTGTTCCGGTTTTAAAATGAAAAATTACCGAAATACCGGTATTGAAATTTTCCATCGGTATTGCATTCCCTACATAGTATTGAAGGATTTAAAGCATTAAGCAAATATTTGTTTTGGCCTCAAAATGGCCTATTTTAGCTATTTTTTGGCAGTATCTTAAAATCAAAAGTGAGATATTTGCCAATTTTTCGCAACTTTAAAAAATCATGTTTTTTGATAAAAAATTTCACTTTAAATTGTTTATTAAGTGGGTTAATTATAACTTTCTTCAAACCTTTTTCGGTTCAACTAGAAGAGAATTTAATACTGAATATAAACAATTTTTGCTTGTTTTGATAGGAAGTTCAGTATTTTTCCCGCATATTAGGTAAAATCGAAAGAATGAAAAACCGAGAAATCGCCGTCGAAGTTTTCGTTCCGCTCGTATACATGCTCAACTCTTGCTCAATTATTTTTCTATAACTTCGCAAATAATTTTAATTTGTTGCTGAAACTAGAGATATAATCTTGGCTAGTTTTGGAAGATATTTTTACAAAAAAAACAATTTTTTTAAGCCTCTAAAGCCCCCCTTAAACATTTTTGTTGTAAAAAATTTTAAACGCGTTTTAAGACTTTGATGAC